TTAATTAGCGTACAAGCTTTGTTAAAAATGCTACGTATTTCGCGGTATAAAGCTGTCTTGTCCGCGTGCCGGTGATATGCACGTTACAAGTTTCTCGTATGCATAACATTAGACCAGCCACAGTTCCTATGATGCCAGAAATAAAACAGCAGGAGTAATTCAACTCCTGAGAGTACACGAACTAGAGTACGCAGAACTATTTCATTTTAACGTCCACCTACTTTCGTACAAAACCTACTACACGTGTATCCATTTTTTTTACCTACATTTACCTGAACAAATTACTCGAACAATTTCAAAGAGAAACACTGCTAAATTCTAGCAAAGAAAAATTTGTCCGCTTTGAAGTAATATAAATATATTCGTCAAAGAATTTTTTCATTCTCACAGTTTCTCTATAGTCTTTCCATTGGACAAACTAAATTACTGAAACCCGTTAGCGTTCGAATTGGAGGGCCAGCGTGTTCCTTTGTCGCGATCGGGACACACCTATAAGGATTTCATCGATGACAAGACATCGATATCTTTGGCACCCAGGTGGCCATTCGTTTACGGTTTAGAACGGAGCCGATCAGCTTCAAAGGCAATTCCAGCGCGGCTCGATTGGCCGACACCCCGTGGGTTAGAAAGCGTCAAACGATCCTGCGGATGGCCGGCCAGCTCGTTCGCGTTTCAAATCTACACGCTCCACGATAAAGTGAACAATGAGTCTGTGTAGAACAGGCGGACGGAGAACGACGGCACGGCGTCGCGGCGCTCCAAATCAATTTCACACTTTAGGGACGATCGACTTAAGCATCGTCCACGACGATTTATGATCGGACAAAAGTGATTGTTATTTATTTTCAATCGTAACTTTCAATCAGAAAGTAACGACAAAGTGTTCCACGGGTTCTGTTATAGAATCGAATAATTTGCAGCTCTTTGTTGAATTTGACTGGGTTTTTCGGGTTCCTTTGCGGAATGATTGAATGAAAGTTTAGAATTTCCGGTGGGAATATTTTTTATGAAGAAATGTAAGTGAAGAGTGCTGTGTTTAAATCGGGGTAAATTGAAAAATGGAAAAATTGAGGGAGACAAATTTCTCTGAAGGTTACTTTACGGTTTATTACAGTCGAAAATTCAAAATTCGACGTTCACCTGTTATAAATCTTAAAAGTGCAGCATAATTTGAATGACTCAATGCATAAAGTATTCTTTACAAAAATTTTGCATAAAATATCGCCTACAGTGCTATATAAAGTGCACTATGTTGAATTAACAAACTATTCACAAAATTGGCGAAACAACGTGTTTCGTTTGAACCGAAGAATTTCTCTTCGGTACAAAAATTCTTCAAAATTCGACTAGAAGAGATCTCAATCCTTCAAACGAACCGCATCACGGTATTCCCCAGCTTCACAAACATCTCCATTATTCCCTCCAAAAATCCACTCGAATCGAAACTCCGCTTAATCAATCTCTCTCGTAATCCCCCCACGATTAAGCCGATTTAACTAAAAGTACCATTCAGCGCATTCTAATAAAACGCTCCAACAGTCCCATACTCGAAGGAACAATTTCTTTCATTGCACGATCTATTGCAGAGCGCATCGCGGCGTGTTATCTGAAGGTATCACGGATGTAATATCCACGACAGAGCTTCCTGTTTGCGGTCGACGCGATAAGAAAGAGAGGAGCCGGGGCGAGGCGCGTGTGTCGTACGTGCATGACTTCCAAAGACGAGAAATAGAGGTGTCCCGATGAGGGAACGAGATTAGTATCTTCCCTATCGAAACGTTACTTATTTCGCGGGCCACACGGCTGCCGCCGATTCTCGTCCGTTCTAGATTCAATAGCGGCCATGATGTCGCGTTTCCGACACGTACGAGCCTGAGCATTGTTGATCATTCGACGTTTCTGATACAGCTGAGAGATACCAGCCGAACAATGTCACATCGATTCCCTTGGTTATTCATCGACGAAACACCGTACCTACCTCTCTGTCCTCTGACACGTTTAAAAACTTATCTCGACACGGATCAAACGAAAGTTCGGCAATAAAATGTAAGTTTCTGATGTTTCACTGCGATCGAGGATCGTGTTATCAAGATCTATCGGCGGGGAGAGCGGTGGGTAGGTTTTCCCGTTGACTTCGAAGGCAGTTTGTAAAGAAGTTGGGTAATAATTCTTGTTTGAGAAAGTAGGAAAAGTTGCGCGATTCTGTGGAACGTAATTCTGGATTTGCCGTCATATGTGCGGGAGTTAGTTTCCGCTTCTTAACCTATCGACAATCGAATGATGAAGTTAACCGGGGGTAATAGGTTATCTCGCGCGATCTTTCACACGGCGTGGAATAATTCGTTAGATGGTGCGAAATGTTGTTGGAATTTTGCTGTTGATCGATGGAAAGGTGAGGAATCAGACGGTTTTGTAGATATAACGTTGATTTGACCAGCAGACGAAGTTCATACTTACTAAGGCGAGATAGCTTGTAGGCATCCGCGGTATTAATTACGTCTACGAAAGCCTGCAACTCAAACTTCCGAGTCGTGGTATTCTTGTTGTGGTTCAACATCGCAAATTTGAAGGCTGACTGAACTTCGTCGGTGCCCTGCTCGAATATTGCACCTGTAATCAGAAAACACGAACGATCATTACCTCGCTAATTTTCTTGACTAATTGAAATTGTTGCTTGCATATATATCTATATAACGAGTAGAATTTTACGTCAAAGATATTATTGTCTCGTATTATTTATCCTTTTCCCTATCAATCTTATAACATCCACTACCGGCCAAAAGTTTCGAATCACCCCCCACTTTTCATCAATATTAAATCTGCTGCTAATTTTTCTCGTACAATTTATCTCGTATCAGTTGATTCGAATGATAAAAAATTCTCAAAGTCGTTGACTTTTTTCTGGAAATTTTTGTGTAAATTGCAATGCTCGGTGATTCCAAACTTTTTGCCGGTAGTGTATATTTAATCCACAGATGTTCAAATGTTGCAACAAAGAAAATATTAAGTCATCCCATAAGTTCGAGTTGAATTTTACAATTTCGATGAATATTTTCGAGGAACCTTTGAATTTGATTAAAAAAATTTAAGCGCCTTATCATTCCACAATTTTTTTCTTTTTGATAAGACCATTATATCGTCGTTAGAACATTTTCTTGGATTTTCATTCAAACATTTTTCACTTTCGGCACGAACTTATGGGATGACCTAGTAGCACGTAAATCATATAAGCGATAAGCTCCATTATCTGCTGAATTTCTGGACCGAAATTCAAATCCACATCTTCTTTCTCCCAGAAAAAAATTATTTTTACCTAAACATTCTAACACACTCAAACTTGGCATAATAAATTCTTCAGTTTTTATTTTATCCTAAAAAATAAACAACGAAGGGAACACCACTCTACTTAAAGAACGAACCAAAAAGAGTGTCTCCTCAGAAACCATCAATTGAAAGATTTACACACATGATCTACACAAAATCAAGTGACACTTTCTGAATTGAAAAAAAAAAAAAACAAAATACGATTAAGTGGTTCGTCGAGAACGGGGTATAATAATCGGAGAACGGTCGCTGTAGCGGCTGTATGATAGCACAATACTCGGTTTGCCAGTGGCTCACATATGGCACAGTAGTACGAGCCAACGTCTGCTCGGCCACTGTCGGCCCACGACCCTCGTGTAATTACGTCGATCCATTCGCCGTTAATACGTACCGATATTAATACTGCTGCCTGTCCAACGGTTTACCCTAAACTACCCCTATAACCGATATTCCGCTAAATTTCTGATTATAATATTCCTCGATCGTCCTCAAAGGACCTACGTTCGCCGTTTCAATCGGCCATCTCCGGCTACGAACCCTGTAACCTTACAGTTAGCCACAAACACCAAAAAAAAACGAACATTTCGCGACGGTTACTCGTGGATCAGTAGTATCTGACATTCGAGTTGGCAAACGTCTAGCTTCCGGTCGATTTATCTTGGCCAACGTTGATTTCTCGATAAACAACAGTCGAAGGAGCCGCTTCGTTTTTCCTCGGATGCATCGGCGAACGAAGTTACATTTCGTCAAAGGTACCGAGAATTTTTTTTCCCGTCGAGACTTTGAAAATGGTTTTTTGTTTTAAATAAAACTAGAGAAAGGACGGCATCTCCTTTTTTCCTCGCTTTGTTGTCGGTGAAGAAGTATAAGCAACGAGACGTCGTCGTCGCATCGGAATGATTTTCTTTACGACTTTCGAAGTCGCGACGCTGAATTTGACTTTCTTCCGAGGGTTTCTCCTTCTCCCGTCGAAATGAGAGAACTTCTCGCACGTTCTGCCACCCCTCACCCCTCCTCCTCTAACCTTGCGTAATATTATTCCACGGATTTTTCTTATTCCCTACTCCGCGCTTTCTTTCGTGCCGCGCCGCGTCATTGCCGCCGCCTTCCATTTTCGTGCAATTTCTTCGCCCCTGGAAATCCTTAAAGAATCGCGGATCAACGTTATCTCCGGGCTTTATTAAATTAACCGTCGAACGTAATTTTTCAAGGAAAATGGAAAGAAAAATACAGCGGACGAGATCAATATTCGAATACAACTTTTCTGCGCTTCTATGCAAATGTTGCGATAGAGGTTTTCACGAGAATTGTAACGATAAATTAGGCAAAATCGATCGATATTTCAGCTCGATTACGCCCTCTCAACAGGTGTTCGCAACAATCTCCGAGCGATTTTTATTCGAAACTCGAGCGGAATGCCGGTATATTTCGCGACGCTGTGTAAACCGTAAGAACAAGGTTGCAGAGAAAAGCGTTTCTTCTGTTCTTTGTGCGGAACTACCGAGCGAACGGAATGAAAGAACTTCTCGCCTGGTGTTCGTCCTTTCCCTCAGCGCGATATCAACACGACTCTCGCCTCTCTCTGTGCTCTTATCGAAACGCCGCTGTTTCTGCCTTTTGAAACGCGCCGCTTCGCGGAAGTTCGTGAAACCGTATCAGAAGAAGCGGGATTATTATTCACCCTGGGGCCTGTTAAACGAACTCGATCGAAAGATAACGCGAACGTGCCACTGTTTTTCGTGCCTTGCGATTTCTTTCCCGTGATTCCTTTCTGCCTGGAACAGATTTGGAAAACAAAGGGAGAATTTTTCGTATTTGTTACACTCGTCTGCGTTCGTAAATTTTTCGATCTTGTATACTTTATTTTTCGTTATTTCCTGGATTTAAGGATTATTCAGAGATTACTTTCTGGATTTAAAGATCGTTGCGTCGCACGCAAATTCACGTGAGCTCGCCCCGGTCTGGCGGATTATAGCCACAAAAATCATTAGCCACCTTTGGCCTAATCTCATTGCGGCCGATCAGACGCCCCTTGGTCCACCCTGCGCCGCGCGAACGTCATTGTTCGCGCCCGCGGTAGATATTTCTGGTAATAAAACGGTACCGCTTTCGGGGCTGACAATTTTACATAAACAAATCCGGTCCCCCGACAGCGGCTCACAGGCATCCCCTTCTCCGAAGAAACGCGCTGCAGCGCAAGGAGAGGGTTGTCGCCACCGTTTAGGCACCCTGACACAAAATTGTATAAAGAGCGAGCTCACCCTCGCCCGACAGATCAGATCACAAATGAACCATCAACTAAACAACAACGAACAGGAACATTCTCTATCTATTCTCAACGAGGTTCAGAATCGTTAAATCAAGGCTGAACCACAGCGAGCTCTGGACCGAACAAGGTCGAACGCTCGCAACAAAGATTATTTCAAGATTGAAATTTCACCCTTGTATATATTGCCTGTTGAAAAGTTTGATATCTGTCGACGAGCTGCATATCTGCAAGAAAGTATCTAATGTTGAACGTGTTAATTACACGAGACCGTTAGCGAAGTAAACGGTTACACGGTTGCGAGTCTTGTAAATCGATAGTAATAGATATACAAGGGGAACGAGCCACAGTGAAATTGATACAAGCAGAAGCGTAAACATTGTTTAATACCTAAGACTTTGATGCTTGTTCGTGAAACAAGCTTCTAATGGCGTAGTTGCGAGAAGTTTAATGAACTACGATCACAAAGTTGCGCTCAGACAATCAACCATCTATGATCTAATGTGTCCCAGATTTTGGTCATCTACCAGCAACGAGCGCGTAACAAATTTTCTTCTTCCCTTATTAACAAATAATAATCGCTCTAATCTAATATTTTTCGTTAGCTCTTCCTTCTGTCGTACTATCGAAAATTGCATAAAAATCTACTTTATTGCAAAATTAAAAACGAGATTGGAATCGTTAGTAGACAACTGATACGTGATCAAGTATTAAAAATGCTAATTCCTTTCATAAAACCCATATTAGTATCGCTAAAAGATATCGTAACGAACGTGAAAATAGATATATCAAATTATGTCGTACCCAAAAATATCAGGCAACCGAAAAAGTTCCTTTATCACTCGTTACCTGATAGAATCTTAATTCGAAAATTTCACAGCTCGAGCTTGAAGCAAAAGTTCATTAATGCGAAGGTCTCCACTTGCTTGAGACAAAACTCATCTTACATTGTACGCCTCCTTGACGCAGCTATTTACATACCAGCCCTTCTACTCGTTCACCTGCCAATTTCTTTCACGGTCAAATCTTAATCCACCTTTAACGTGCTCCAATCGAGTGCCGAAAGCTCAAACAAGGCAATCGAACGAGCTCGATAATTTCACACCTCGAACGCCACAAACATCAGAATTCCGCCAAGGAATCTGAATTGTTGGAGGAAACGCAAGAAAACTAATAAGCCAAAATATATATCAAGATCACAATGGTACCTTTAAAAACCAATCTGGGTGGCCGTGTTTATCTCGGTGAGCGTTGACAGGTGGGGCGCCGCCGCGCGTCTATTGATTGGTGCCCAGCCTCCCCACCATGCTCTCACACTCACATCGATTCCCCTTTTCTCCCCCTTCGGCGCCCTCGTGTTCTTCCCAGCTCCTTCACCCTTCTTCCTTCTACTTTTCCATTTTCCATCCACCTTTCTTTTTCACCTCTCTTCCTACTTCTCTCCTCCATCGTCCTTCATACTTTTCTTCCGTTCGGCGAACCTCGTTTTTCGGCGTTGCACCTCTCTCGACACCGGTACTCGCCTTCGAACCGCCGCTTTTACGCTTCTTGCATCCCTCGACTCTCGCCTTTACCTCGTATCCCGGACGTCGTTCCGCTCTCCTATCCACGACGACGGCGAACGACCGATTTTTTCCCTCATTTGTTACCGTTCCAGGTAGTCTCCGCGAGTTTCCGGTTCCCAATTTCTCCTCCAAAGAGTTACCACTCTTATAGTCAGTTTCGAATTTTCTCCTCGTTCTCCTTTGCTCTCTCCCTCCCTCTTTTCTCTAGTTCTTTCCTTCTCTCCAACGAACAGGTTTAATCGTTTCACCAGAGAGCTGTAATTTACTTTACCTCGATTTTCCATCCGTTTCTTTCCCCCCCGTTCCTTACAAATCGCTCCAACCTTCGCGTCGCTTTGCCGTGGCCGCGCCGAGCGAATC